GGTGTTGGACAATGAAACAGCAGGTTTCAGACCACAGTCATTTATCAGAACGGTGTAGGACCTCCAACACAGCGTCAGGTGGTCTTGAGAATGACATATCCAGGTCCTGCTCAGTGGTCAGAGGGATTTGAACCATTCTTCCTGCAGGACAGTGTCCAGGTCACTACATGATGCTGGTGGAGGAAAACGTTTCCTGACTCGCTCCTTCAAAACACCCAAAGGTGTCTCAACAATCTTCAGATGTGGTGACTGTGCAGGCCATGGGAGATGTTCAACTTCACTTTCATGTTCATCAAACCAACCTTTCACCAGTCTTGATGTGTGTACTGTTGTCATCCTGATACACAACACCACCTTCAGGATACAATGTTTGAACCACTGGATGAACATGGTCCTCCAGAATGGTTCAGTAGTCCTTGGCAGTGACGCACCCATCTTAGGCCAGGGGAATGTCATGATACAGCAGCCCAAACCATGACTGRTCCACCCCCATGCTTCACTCTGGACATGCAACAGTCTGGGTGGTACACTTCTTTGGGTCTTCTCCACACTGTAACTCTACAGTAAAGGTGAACTCATCAGAGAACAACATGTTTCACAGATTTGTGCTCCTTGAACCAGTGAAACCAACGTTTGGCACAGTSACCAAAGGTTTGGTTATAGCAGCCCGGCCGTGTATACTGACCCTGTGGAGGTCCTGATGGACAGTTCTGGTGGAAACAGGAGAGATGAGGTGACATTTAATTCTGCTGTGGTTTTRTGTATGTTTGATACAATCCAGGTTATCACCTGAACATCTCTTTCAGACAGCTTCCTGTTGGGTCCACAGTTAATCCTGTTGGATGTGGTTGGTCCTTCTTGGTGGTCTGCTGACATTGCTAATTGAACCTTCACACTCTGCTCTTACTGGTGCAGTTAATGAAGACTGACCACCAGGCTGGTCCAGTTTAACCATGAAACCTCCCACAATATGTAGTTCATTAACATTCAGGTATCAGACTGAAACCACGTGAGAATTCAGATTTCAGAAGAAAGACCTCACGTGACCTCAGAAGAGACSTGAGTTCAGAATAAAGAAACATCTGAGACGAGGAAGAAACAATGTTCTTATGTTTACCAGAGACCAAATGACTGAACATCCAGCAGACTTTCTGCTGACTCAGGAGTTTTTATGTCTGTATTTTGGAGGTTCCTCAGAGTTTACATCACCTCTCTTTCTGATTGGCTGTGTCCTTCAGCAGGCTGCAGCTCGTTTGTTCTCAGGTGAACACCTGACACACTGTGACATCTGAGCTGGGAGCGGTCCTGACCTGTAAGACAAAAAGAACAGATTTATTTTTCAAAGTCACTTTTTCACCATGATTCATACTTTTATAAATGTCCTAGTTTATAAATC